GCGCCTGAGCAGTTCGGCCCGTGCAAACACATACGTGTTCCCTTCATAGTCCTGCCCGTCCGCCTCTGCCTCGTTAGATTCGTTTGAGTCAGTCCCTGAGATCTCGCCTTTCTCGGGCTCTGCTCCTCTCGTCCTTCCTGGCGTGAGTCCTTCAGGTACCTCCTTGTGTGTCAGTCGTTCGGGCTCTTCGTGGTGTGAATCGTTCGGGCTCGTCGTCCTGCTGTGCGTCGTTCGGGCCCCTCCTTGTGTATGAGTCGTTCGGGCTCCTCGTGGTGTGAGTTGTTCGGGCGCTTCGTCCTGGTGTGAATCGTTCGGGCGCCTCCTTGCGTGTGGGTTGTTCGGGCTCCATGAGATGTGAATCGTTCGGACCCGTCGTTCTGGTGTGAGTCGTTGGGGCCCGTCCTGGTGGGTGAGTCGTTCGGGCTCCTCGTGGTGTGAGTCGTTGGTGCCTGTTGTCCTGCTGTGAGGCGTTCGGGCCTCTCCTTCTGGTGAAAGTCGTTCGGGCTCTTCCCTTCACTGCCCTGGCGTTGTCTTGGTATTGGAGCAGGTTCCTGCTATCTCGTCTTCGCTGGTTCTTCCGATGTAACCTGTGCTGTTTCCATCTTCCCTCTGCCCCCTCCATCTTATCCTTCTCAGTGGAGAGATGAAGAAAAGAACTTACTAACTCAATCGGTCGAGCTCAAGGCTCGAACCATCCTCCAGTCCGTGTTGCTTCCGCCGCCCGCACGGGGCTCTCCCTTTTCGGGCCTGGGGGTGGAGGAAATGTCCAAACTGCGTGGTGAGTATGTTTGCGTGTGTGTGTTTGTGTGTGTTGGTGTGTGAGCGTGCGTCTATGAATATCAGCGGAGGAAGCGTCCTTTTCTCCCGCCATCCAATCCACCTTTCTCCGCTCCCTTCTCATCCCGCCCGCCCCTTGCCCTCCTGTCGGCCCCCCCTCGGCACTGGAGAGCGAAGAAAGGGGCTCCATCGAGACCAGGGCGTTTTTGCGTTGCCCCGCCACGGGGCTATGCTCACCATGAAAGGTCGGCGTGGCGTTCGTGAGTACTCGCGTGCAGATGACTGACTTTTTCACGATGGTGCAGGTGAACATCTTGACGGCGGTGTTCGTCCGCGAGGCTCGCGCAGGTTCGCACCCTCACGATGGTTCTTGTCCTGTCCCACGTGCAGGTTAACATCCCCGCGATGGTTTCGTCCTGCTCCTGAGCTGATGCGGCGCAACTCGCACCGCGAGCACGCCCGGCGCGCACGCACATGCACGCACTCACACACACGCACTCACACGCACGCACTCACACACGCACTCACACGCACCACGAGCACGCCCGGCGCACACACACATACACGCACTCAATCAAATTTTGGAGAGGATCGAACATTTCAGACACGCAGGTCTGTAACTCGGCGTGCCTCTTGCTCCCTCCCCCATCCGCCCTCCACGCACGCGCGCGCGCACGCGCGCACACGTTGCGCACGCACGCGCACTCCTCTCTCTCTCTCTCTCTCTCTCTCTCTCTCTCTCTCTCTCTCTCTCTCTCTCTCTCTCTCTCTCTCTCTCTCTCTCTCTCTCTCTCTCTCTCTCTCTCTCTCTCTCTCTCTCTCTCTTTCTCACGCGCGCACGCGCGCACACACGCACGCGCGCACATATACAAACCTAATTTCTGCCATTATCGATCCTCCCCGCGGTGATTTCGCGAGCGGATCGAGCAGGATGACGCTGGGGATATCCTTCCTACGAGTTGCTCGCCCCCCGCTTTCCTTCGGCCTTCCCCTTATCGCGCACGCGCAAACGCACGCGCACACACGTATGCGCACACGCGCGCCACACGCATAAGCACCCAAACGAATTTGAGCGATCGCAGGCTGAATAATAGCAGCCGCCGCTCTGGCACGGCACTGCTCGGAGCGAGCGTGCAGGCCGCCAGGCCGCGTCTCTCCATCCTTGCCCACGCTTCTGGCGATGCCAACTCCCTCGCCTCAGCACCTTCCTCATTCACGCTTCTTATCAGAAGGACTCCTCCTTTCCCTTCCCGTAGAATTAACGCGTGAAGCTGGCCGCTGCATTGCTGCAGAAGGGCCGCCCACGCTGCGCTTGCCCCCCGCATATCGCTCGCGCAGCAACGCGTACCCGAAGACGCAGTGCGAGATTGCGACCATATGATTTGGAAAGAGCCCTCATCTTCTCCACCTCCCCCTCGCGGCCGCGGCTGTGAAATGCGCCATTAGGTGGCCGCCGCTCAGACGCTCAGATCCTGAACCGTCGTGAAGAAAGTATAACGTGAGGTTTTTCGCTATGGGCGGCCTCTGAGGGCTGCGGTGGGGGACATATACAACAGCGCATGTACTGAAATGCAGTCGAACTCTGAACGCAGCAATCCCCGTCTGCTCAGGGCTCTACTCTGGTCTGCAAGGCATGCCGTGCGCTAGGAGTCGACCCGAGAGACTGGGAGACGTATACCTGCTTTTCGCTATGGACGGCCTTTGGGGGGTGCGGTGGCTAAAACTATACAACAGCGTGTGCGCTGAAATGCAGTCGAACTCTGAACGCAGCAATCCCCGTCTGCTGAGGGCTCTACTCTGGTCTGCAGAGCATGCCGTGCGCTAGGAATCGACCCGAGAGACAGGGAGACGTATACCTGCCAATCAGCGTTTTTGAAAGAACGCCCATCCCCTCCACCTCTTCCTCACTCGGGATCTCTACCTTTTCCGATCAACAAAGACCACCCAGTTGGTCGACACGCATGGCCGCACCAACGCGCGGCGTAGCTATGCGGAAATAACCGTCGCTTGATCTACGGAAAATTGGCGACCGTCTGCGCAGTGCTCGAGATTGTCTGGCGTGTTCTTGTGTATTCTAGGGTTTTCTGTGGCACGGGTGCTTTGTTTTCCCACGCTGGGCCCGACCCAGGCCCCTAGGACCAAAAAGCACGCTCCTCTCGAGTGATATCACGCCGCGTGGTCTCCGTGCATGGTGCGCATGATGTACGCATGTTAGTGCTAGATAGCGGATGAGAGATATAGGCAGTTCCTTTCAGATCTCGTCTCTCAAATTTCGACCAAGAGGAATGGGAGCGTCGTCTAAATCTAGGCATGTGTAAATACTGCACGTGTGGACATGTGTCGATACATAAACATATGTCGATATATTTTTAGATAGATAGATATATATATATATATATATATATATGCACACGTGGCTCGGCCCATATTGTGTATATGCATAGATATGCACACAAAACACACACATATGGCCATGTCCCCCCCAAAAAAATGAAGACACATGCAGAGTTGCTCCCTGTCCCTCAGATGCCGAGAGGATGAGAGGTGAGGCGATTTTGCCTGTGGCGGTCGATCGCGCGCTTGCCAGGCCTGGGAGTCGGACCTCCGATGCTTCCTCTACCGCGCTCGTGCGAAGAGTACGTTTAGTTTATAGTCTGTCCTCCAGTATTGTGCGCTCGATGGCAAAACACGTGCGTCCTCTTCGCAGTCCTCCCCCATCCGCCTCTGCTTCGTGCGTTTCGTTTCAGTAATGTCCTGGGAATTTAACTTTTCTTGGGTTGCGGTTCTGTAGCCGGAGGAAGAAGAGGGGAAAGAGGAGAAGGATGAAACGGAGGAGAAAAAAGGACGAGGGCCAGGAGGAGGGCCCTGGGGGTCGCCATGTGCGATCATGGTCGCCGTGAGAAACGCGCCTGCGGAACCAAGAGAAGGGGCGCGCGCCCGCGCTCCTTGCTCGGCCAGGGAAAAGACGGAGGAAGGGGAAAATCATGAAGGAGCGCTGTGCGACAGTGCGGCGGTTGCCTGCGGCTACAAGCGCGGGCCTGGGAGTTACTGCACGCGTTGCTTATGCGCGATGAAAAGGGAGCGCGCCCGCGTTCCTTGCCCGACCAGGGAAGAGGGGGAGGAGGAAGGGGGAAAGGATCCGCTCGGGCCTCTCCTTGTGTGTGGGTCGTTCGGGCCCCTCGTGGTTTGAATCGTTGGTGCCCTTCGTACTGGGGTGAGTCGTTCGGCCTCGTCGTGGGTCTCTGTGGGCCCTTGTGGGCCATTGTGGGCCATTCTCAGCCCTTCTCGGCCATTGGCCAGCAATCTACTTGTGTGAACGAGCACCGATCGCTGGCGGAGCTCGCTCTTCGGTGACGCTGGTCCGTGGGCTGGTTCCTGTTCGCTTGTTCCTGGGCGTTCAGCACTGCAGACTCCAGGGAGGTGTGACAAAATACGGGGATGCACAAGGGATATGACAGAGACGTAGGTCCTGAAGAACGGCATATGAGCTGAAGTACTGGTCGAAGAGTGGACGCAGGCATCGCGCATCTTCTCGGGGCACCACTAGGGTGTGGAAGGCATGTCGCGCGCAAGGATTCGACGCGTCGGATCCCGCGACGTAGACGTGCCAGAGGTGCTCGTACAGTGCTGCAGAATCGCCAGAAGCTACACTGCAAGGAGTGCGTCGCTGAGAAAGAATGGGCGTCCTCTCACAGTTCTCATCCTCCGCCTCTGCCTCGTTCGATTCCTTTTTCAGTTGTGTCCTTGGGATCTCGCTTTTCTTTGGTCTTCGTTTTTCCAGGGGGTCGTGGGCAAGGGCGAAGGTTCGCATCGATGTGTGAGAGAGTGTATGTCCGGAAGAACTGTGGCATAATCGAGTCCAAGACATTGCGATTCCCCGTCGACTGTCCGTCGCCATTGTGGCCCATCAGAAGTAGGAGATTAGATTCGCATCCGTTCCCCAAGAATTTCTCTGTTGCTGTGAGTTGTCTCCGCCTACCATTTGTGCAGTGAGCTTCGCTTGGCGCAGACGTTCCACTCGACCTCACTCGATCCTAACCCTTGCCGCTTCTGGGAGTGGCGCTCTAAGACTTGCCGCTCGAAAGCAGCTGGCCCATCCCGTAGCTCTGCGCCTGTTGCTGCCAGGAGCTCTTCCATGCAGAGGGCCGATCCACCAGCATACCGCGGAGACGCATCCTGCTGGAATGTCGCTTCCCGCCAACCCTATGCCGCGCTGGGTTCCCATGGCGAACGTTGACTCGACCGCTATGTTCATCGCTTTCATCGCCTGGCATCGGCAGCCCTGTTCCCGCCGCATGTTCTATGCCATGCGCATGGACACGATCATGACGCAGATCGATCACGGAGCTATCGGCCCGGTGACCGACGCTGAGTGGGTCGAGGATCATTACGTTCCTATCAGGAAGGTGCTATGCGATGGTATTTTGTGCAGGCGGTGTCGAGCACATGGTGGGCATTCTATTCTCCCGAATGGCTTCATCTTCCGCTGGTTCAGCCTTTTTGTGGGAAAGCCTATACATGACGAGCCGGAATCCGCTTCTGAACTCGTGGGTTCCCGCGGACGGCTATGAGTGCCGTGACCCAGCCGACGGTGCACGCTCCCGTGGCAATGTTGCGCGTGACCATTATGGGACTTGCTTGGTTCCGCGGAGCAGGTGGGCGGAGGTGGCTGCTATCATGGGCATCGAGCCCCCTGACGGGCTGGACTCTGCATCGGACGTCACGGTGGACATGGCAGTGGACCCTATTACGGATCACGTAACCGCCTCTGCGCTGAAAGAGGCTCTGGATCCAATCTGTGAGCAAGCGGACGCGGACGACTCGCACCTCTGATCGCTCCACCTCAGTATCAGTCAGGGCTATTGATAGCTTCGCGTGCAGTTTTTTGTGCGCGTGTCCCAGACACGCGTGCGTCTATGCTACATTCGTGCCGGGTCTCATGAGCCATGCGCGTTCTCTGGGTGCCGCAGCTTCTTTTGATTAGGCAGAGCTGGACTATGTCCGACCGTGTCAATCGGCAAGCCTGATCAATTTAGTATCTCGTGCCGCGTGCGCACTACAGGACTAGCGGGGAAAGATCGCTGGGTCGTCGACGCTGTCGTCCATAGAAGTGTCGTCGTTGAAGTCATCGTTGTCATCGTGAGCATGGATCTTGTCGTCGTCGTCGGCGTCGCCGCCAGCCTCTGTCAGTTGTTCTGGTGCTCGTGGTGTGAGTCGTTGGGGCCCTTCGTCATTCGTATTAAGAGTATGTCGGGCCCCTCCTTGTGCGTGGGTGGTTCGGGGTTCCTTTGGGTTGGTCCTTCGGGCCTCTCGCTCTGAAATGAGTCGTTCAGGCTTCTCCTTGTGTGACTCTTTCGGGTGCCTCATTATGTGTGAGTCGTTCGGGCTTCGTGGTGTGAGCCCCCTCCTTGAGTTTGAGTCGGTCGGCCCCCTCTTCCTCGTGTAACTCGTTCGGGCTTCCCGTGGTGTGAGTAGTTGGGGGCCCGCGTCGTGGGGTGAATCGTTCGGGCTCCTCGTGGTCTGAGTAGTTCGGGCGCCTCGTCCTGGTGAGAGTCGTTCGGGCCCCTCCTTGTGGTGTGAGTCGTTCGGGCTCTTCGTGGTGTGACTCGTTGGGGCTCCTCGTCCTGGTGTGCATCGTTCGGGCTCTTCGTGAAGCCTCTTGGAGACCTTTTGGAGCCTGTTGGGGCTTCTGGGGGGTCTCTTGGGGGCCTCTTGGGGGCTTCTTTGGGTCTCTTGGCGCTTCTTGGGGGCTCTTGGGGGCCTCTGGGGAGCCGCCTGGGGTTTCTTGGGGGCCTCTTGGGGGCCTCTCGGAGACCTCTTGGGAGCCTCCTGGGGGTCTATTGGGGTCAGGTCGAAGACGCGAACACTATGAGTTTCGTGATTCCTCATATCTTTTCGATGGGGACCGATCTGAGAGGCGGTTTCCCCGGCTGCTCATTGTTCACCTCTCCTGTCTAAGTGGCCGCCTGGTGCTCGCGCCCGACATAAGGAGCGAACCTGCCTTTGAGATGCAGCCCAAAGCTGCGAACCTCGGCAGAGTGGTACCTCGCGCTGCGTGCGCTGGACATTTCTCGGCTGCTGATTCCAGGGGGAGGTGATCAGAGACGGAGGTCGCAAGGATGTGCGAGAGAGGCTTGTGTCCAGAGGAACTGTGCCATAATCGTGTCCAAGGCATTGCGATTCCCTGCCCGTTGTCCATAGCCGTTGCGGCTCATCAGAGGTAGGAGATCATTCCTGCATCCGTTCCCCAGGAATCTCCTTGCTGCTGTGAGTTGTCTCTGCCTGCCATTTCTGCAGTGAGCTTAGCTCGGCGTAGACGTACTCACTCGACCTCGCGCGCGATGGCTACTCGTAGTGGCGAGGATCTGCGGTGTGATTGGGATCGTGCTTTCCGTCGTGCACGCCGCGGCTCCCCTCTTCGCAGCCGCTTCGATGATCGTATACGCTCCCAGGACGAGAAACCCCACGTAGATGACGTGCTGGCCCATGAACTACACATATGGAAAGAGGATCCTAACCCTTGGAGTTTCTGGGGGTGGCGCTCCAAGACTGGGCGTTCGAAAACAGCTGGCGCATCCCGTAGCTCTGCGTGTGCTGGTGCAGAGAGCTCTTCTCCGCGGAGGGGCCGATCCACCAGCGTACCGCGGAGAGGCATCCAGAGCAGGGCGCGCAATCGCAGCCGCAGCAAGAGCATCCCGAGGGCACGTGGATATCCGTTGGCGGGTCGGCCGCGTTGCAGGACGCATGCGATGTGCCCGGACAAGCCCCATGAGCGCCTCAGCAACACCAAGGGCGTGACGAGACGTGAGCAAGAAGCTCGGCCACTCCACCAGCAACAGGCTCTTGACGAAATGTCCGAGGTTTCCACCGATCGGGCTGATGACGTGGATGACGCGCAGGTCCGCAGAGATAGCAGTTCGGCTCCCGCATTTGGTCCTGCACCTACCAGGGAAGCGAGCCACGCGTTTCTGGACGCTCGTATGACTTTGTTGGAGGAACACGTACGGCAGTGGGCCCTGGTAGTATATGCATTGTATTGCACAATTGCAGAATGTACTATTTTCCATTCTGATTCTGGGCAAAGCGAGTTGGGAAATGGGATGTTGCTTCAATTTGACATCCGTTGGTCAGTTCTTCGATGCAGGTTTCTATAATCGATACTGGTGCTGCTTATTCTGCTGAGGTGATGCTGCTGATTATTGTACTCGCCGTTTTTGCCTCTGACTCTTGGAGATTGCTAGGTTTCTTCGGGTGTGCGGCAGTGGGCTGCGATGGTGCATGCTCTCGCGTCCAGTGCTGGGATTACCTTATGATTCACCGCTGCATCAGTACTGGGTGATGTCGTTACCTTGCCGCACCGGGAGATAGGCAGTATTATCGACGGTGTGGCCGCTACCACGGTGCAGTGGATTCCTTCGGTGATCCCCTCCTGTTGTGAGTTGTTCGGGTCCCCTCTCCTGGACAGAGTCGTTCTAGCCTCTCTTCGATGAGTGAGTCGTTCGGCGAGGGGCCTGAACGACTCATACAAGGAAGAAGCCGAACGACTCGCCCCGGGGCGAGGAGCCCCAATTACTCACACCACCTGAAGTCTGGCCCAGCACGTGCACTCCTTGAGTTCCGTGAGTCTACAGATCTGGTCAAGGGGACCGATCTGGGAGGCGAGTTTCTCCTTCTGTTTCTCCTCTACCTCTCCCTCCGAACCTGCCGCCTGCCGCCAGCGCCCGACTTCATGGGCGAGCCTGATCAGTTTAGCATTTCGTGCCGCGTGCGCACTGCAGGACAGGTCGGGGAAGATCGCTGGGTCGTCGACGCCGTCGTCCATGGAATTGTCGTGTCCGAAGTCATCGTTGTCATCGTAAGCATGGATCTTGTCGTCGTCGTCGACGTCGCCGCCAGCATCTGCGAGTCGTTGTGACCTCTCGTCCTTCGTGGTTTGAGTCTTTCGGGCCCTTCCTTGTGCGTGAGTGGTTCGGGCTTCCCTTGGGTTGGTCGTTGGGGCCTCTCGTTCTGGAGTGAGTCGTTGAGACTGGTCCTTGTGTTGCAGCAGTCCTAAGAAACATTATGCGTAATCACCAAGCACTAGTAAGCATGATGCCAACCGAGCTGCTGGCCCGAGCCCTCCCCCCTGCACTGCCCTGGGTGGTTTGCCTTCGTCGATCTCACGTCGACGTTGCTCTGTGCTGCGCGGAGGCCTGCCGAGAAGAACCAGGGACATTCGAACTGCATGGGAGCGCAAGACAGAGCGAATGCAGGAGTTCGGTGTTCTGTGCGTCGCACATATGTGAATCGTTGGTCCCTCGTGGTGTGCATCGTTGGGGCCCTTCGTCCTTCCTGGTGAGAGTCCTTCGGGCTCCTCCTTGTGTGAGAGTCGTTGAGGCTCTTCGTGGTGTGAGTCGTTCGGGCCCCTCGTCCTGGTGTGCGTCGTTCGGGCTCCTCCTTGTGTGTGAATAGTTCCGTCTCCTCGTGGTGTGCGTCGTTGGGGCCCCTCGTCTTTCGTGGTGGAAGTGCTCCGGGCACTTCCTTGTGTGTGAGTCGTTCGGGCTCCTCGCGGTGCGAGTCGTTCCGGCCCCTCGTCCTGGTGTGACTCGTTCGGGCTCCTCTTTGTGTGGGAGTCGTTCGGGATCCTCGTGGTGTGAGTGGTTGGGCCCCTCGTCATGGTGTGAGTCGTTCGGGCTCCTGGCCCTGGTGTGAGTCGCTCTGACGCCTCCTTGCGTGTGAGTTGTTCGGGCTGCTCGAGGTGTGAGTCGTTCGGGGTCTCTCGTCCTGGTGGAGTCGTTCGGGCTGTCGTCCTGGGGTGAGTCGTTCGGGCCCCTCACAGTATGTGAGTTGTTGGGGCTCTCTGCGGTATGAATCGTGGGGGCCTTTCGTTCTGGTGTGAGTCGTTAAGGCGTCTCCTTGCATGGGTGTTGTGGAGCGCTGTACCTGCGCGTCGTGAACGTTGCTGCGATGGCAAGGTCTTGCAACCCCGCTAGTGGTCCCCCAAGGGTCGCCATGCAGACGAGATTTGCGCGAGAAGGAGCGTCTCTCTGCCCGCCCTCCACAAACATGAAGAGACGTTTGCCAGAACCACCCTCCACAGGTGACTCCGTGTATTGGAATGTAAATGTGTGGTAACCGCGTGGTATGTGGAGATAATGAGCATAGCTCTCCTAGTCGTACTGAATGCATTCTGAACACTATGCGCTATCTCCATTCACTGGCGCGCATGATGCCAACCGAGCTGCTGGCCTGGCCCCTCCCCTCTCCCCCGCTGCAAGGCTTCGCGGTGTTTTCCTATCTCTGTCGGTTCGTGTTATCCCGGCTTTGCTTCTTCCTGGGAGTCGAGACTAGGGGCTGGGCTCCACAGGGGAGTGTGCTAACAGTTAGGGTCCACAAGGATTTTGCCGTCAGAAGGTAGAAGGCGTTACGATTCAGTCGCGGTTTTCCGTAGACATTGTGGTGCAAGTCAGGTTGGCCCAAGCTAGTCTCGACCAGTGCCCATCCATCTGCGTGAGGTTCTACTGTGAGCTCCACGTATCACTTGTGCAGTGAGTTTAGCTCCGCACGGACGCTATTCTTCCCAATACCTGAGGGCGCGCAGCAGAGTTCACAGAGATGCCAGTCGTGGACTTACGTGAGGTTTACGCGCCCTTGCCCCGAGCGGTGCGAGAATTGCAGGGGATGCTGATGGAGACGATGCCTACAGCTGGAGACGGTGCGTGCGCCATTCATTCTGTGTGGGGCGAGTGGGAGAGGGGCTTATTCTGCTCAGGTGATGCTGCTGATTACTGTACTCGCCGTTTTTGCTTCTGACTCTGGGAGATTGCTAGGTTTATTCGGGCGTGCGGCAGTGG